GTAGCCAATTCTGTAGTTTATAATTTAACAAAAAGTGAAATCTGTGAGATTCTTAATAATTTACTTTGCTGATTCCTTTTTTTTTTTTTTTTTTTTGGTCCAGAAACACAGCACTTAACTTTTGGAATAACATTACATCCCACTAAAGAAATAAAGTATCATATCTCAGCCTTTCTAACAATTTGAGGGAAAAGCATTTTGTATTCATAACAATCCTAGTGAAAACAAACACTGTAATTATTAAACATTGCTAACTAGATTCACCATATTCATATTAAAATTGCTTTAAATGAGTATATTGTTTGGGTGTTGAAAATAGGTTAGAGTAGGCTGTAGCAAATTTTCTCTGCTAAAATTTCCTTTAGTTGTGTATGTCCATATAATCCTCTACTTTAGGCCAGCCATCCCCCTAAAGCTGATAGTACACTCCATAATACTGTAATAATCTATTGAACCACAGTGTCACAAGTTGTTGAGTGGCATAAATATATAGGACTTAAAATCACTCCTTAAGGGCAATTGTGATCTAAGTGTATACCAAGCACATGTCTATTGTACATCAGAGAGGCACAGTGAAACCTGATTTCTTTCCACCCTAAAATAGATAATTAGCCAGAGAAAATAAGGGGTTCAATCATTTAATACAATGAAAAGAGCTTTATTTCTATTACTTTTCAGGAGCCAGTCCCCATGTATATATGTGGAAGTTGAAGAGTTCCTTATGAGAACACAATACGCCCATCAAAGGTGGAAGTGATAGGTTTGATTATTCAATAAATGCTAGGAGATACCAGCCTAATTCTCATATAATAAACAAATTTGATAAATGAAGGTAAGAATGAATATTATTGTAGACATGTAGCAGGGTAGGGTAATGTGGGGAAAAGAAAGAGAGATCAGACTGCTACTGTGTCTATGGAGAAAGAAGTAGACATAAGAGATTCCATTTTGTTCTGTACTAAGAAAAATTCATCTGCCTTGAGATGCTGTTAATCTGTAACCCTACCCCCAACCCTGTGCTTGCAGAGACATGTGCTGTGTTTACTCAAGATTTAATGGATTTAGGGCTATGCAGGATGTGCTTTGTTAAACAAGTGCTTGAAGGCAGTATGCTTGTTAAAAGTCATCATCATTCTCTAATCTCAAGTACCCAGGGACACAAACACTGTGGAAGGCGGCAGGGACCTTTGCCTAGGAAAGCCAGGTGTTGTCCAAGGTTTCTCCCCATGTGGTAGTATGAAATATGGCCTCGTGGGAAGGGAAAGACCTGACTGTCCCCCAGCCCGACACCCGTAAAGATTCTCTGCTGAGGAGGACTAGTAAAAGAGGAAGGCCTCTTTGCAGTTGAGATAGAGGAAGGCATCTGTTTCCTGCTCCTCTCTGGGCAATGGAATGTCTCCTTGTAAAACCCAATTGTACGTTCTATTTACTGAGATAGGAGAAAACCGCCCTAGGGCAGGAGGTGAGACGTGCTAGTGGCAGTGCTGCTCTTTAATGCACGGAAATGTTTGTGGAGATGTTTGTATACACGCACATCAAGGCACAGCACCTTTCGTTAAACCTATTTATGACACAGAGATCTTTGTTCACATGTTTTCCTGCTGACCCTCTCCCGACTATTACCCTATTGTCCTGCCACATCCCCCTCTCTGAGATGGTAAAGATAATGATCAATAAACACTGAGGGAACTCAGAGACTGGTGCCGGCGCGGGTCCTCCATATGCTGAGCACTGGCTCCCTGGGCCCACTTTTCTTTCTCTATACTTTGTCTCTGTGTCTCTTTCTTTTCTCAAGTCTCTCGTTCCACCTGACGAGAAATGCCCACAGGTGTGGAGGGGCTGGCCCCCTTCAGGGTAAGGGTAGGAAGGTATCAGCCCAACTATGTAAACACCAGAGAAGAAAAATTTACAATTATTTATTGTCTTTTAAATTCATGACTTAGGTTTGGGCTCTTGTAAGCTCTAGCTTGCCAAATGAATTAAGTATTTGTTTAAAATAATCATTATGCATCCTTCTTCTCCAGTTCCTTGCCATGTGAGTGGTTGGTAGTTACGTGTGATTTTAATTTTACCTTCTCAATCAGACTTTATCTCTGGTGTCCACAGGGAAGTAACAAACTTCTAAAAGATCACTCAAGTCCACTATACATTGCATATTTGATTCTTTCATTTCCTCAAATAAAAACAAATTCAGCTTTGTGAACTATCAAATTTTTCAAAATAAAGTACAGAATGCCAGTACCAGCATTTAGTGGATCTGTATTCACTAGACTAAAGTTAGATATACTACTCTTTAAATAATTTAAAACAGTATCTACTACTATATTGCTATATTAAAATAAAATAAAACAATTTAAAATAAGATATACTTCTGACATCATCCTTATTAAGCCTGTAGAAGAGAAAGATCTGCAATAGAAACAAACAGACATAATCTAAGGATCCTGACCTTAAGAAGTTTACAATTTTGGCAAAGAAACAAGATAGACACACTCAAAACTAAATAACAATTCAGGACAACAATATAAGAAATGTCTATATAAATTTATCCTTTTTATAAGCTACCTTTTGAAGTTTGTCACTTTGTCAGACTAATCTTTGGGATTTATTGATTGCAAAAGCTATTCATATTTTAGGATTGCATTTTCTAACACTTCCACCAGAAATAACATAAAGGAGATTTTAGCGATTAGCTGAAAATAAAAAAAGGACAGAGTAAGAGGAAAGAAAATAAAGGTATTATATTTGCCTTTTGGAATTATAACATAGAGTCTAAAGTTAAAAAACTAAGGTGAGCATTTATATAATGATTAGACAACTTTCTCAGGGACAGCCTACTTTTAAAAATAATAGCTATCACACATGGATTGCAATAATTAAACTAAGTGCTGTATAAGCCTCATGTTTAATGCATCATCTAATTTATTACTTAAAACTCATTGTTGGTACTATTCTTCCTAGGAGTAAAACACTAATGCAAGTTCACACAACTTGAAATAGGTGAAGTCAAGCTTCCAGCTGAGGTCTATTTGACACATAATCCAATGTCTCTCTTCCTTCCTAAGAAGGGAATAAAAAACGCTTATTGCATTTGTTCTGTATCTACATACCTTTAATGAAGTAGCAGTATGCTGAAAATATAGATCAAGAATTGCCCCCATCCTGGCTAACACGGTGAAACCCCGTCTCTACTAAAAATACAAAAAACTAGCCGGGCGAGGTGGCGGCACCTGTAGTCCCAGCTACTCGGGAGGCTGAGGCAGGAGAATGGCGTAAACCCAGGAGGCGGAGCTTGCAGTGAGCTGAGATCCGGCCACTGCACTCCAGCCTGGGCGACAGAGCAAGACTCCGTCTCAAAAAAAAAAAAAAAAGAATTGCCTAAATTCACAATGCTAATATGACTCATTTCACAGAACCTAAAAGAAGGATTAAATTTAAAAAGGCTTACTGAGTGGCAATGGAAGTAAGGAAGTTGAAGGTGTTGTGCTTTCTCTAAGAATTCACCCAAGGCTTTTAAGTCTGTACTTACCCAAGAAGAGGAAATTTGCAATCTAGGTGAAAGGGGTGAGTAAATCTAGCGTGTCAGGGAAGAGATCTTGGAATTGTCCATTTGGGGGTCCAGGCAGGACGACTTGAAAAAAAAGTGTTTCTAGGATGCTGCTGAAAGATTAAGATACTAGAGAGAAAAAGGAGTGAAGAACAAGTTCAAAGAGTGAGAAACATGGAAAGGTGGAAAAGCTCACTGTTTGATATTTTGGAGGGGGTGCTCTGCTGCCAGAGAAGTGGGAACTTGACCATGAGTAGAAAGAGAAAAATGAAGGTTGCTAAAGTTAATAAGGTCTAGGCAGTGAGTAAGGAGGTTATGGGAAGTGTTATTAGTATGGATGCTGAATTCACTGAGGATATGTGCCATTCAAATAAAGCTTTGTGATATTAAGTATAACTAATGACATCACAAAAAGCAGTACATTTGACAAAACAATCACATTTTGACAATACTGTAATAAGTTTAAGAAATCAACCAGGTGATTCACTCAAAGTGGTTGCACTTATATTCATAAGTAACTTTAAAAATACTTTATAGGTAAAAAGGTCAGGTTAAAGTCCAGTCGCCAAGATTTCAGGTGGAACTCATGGAACTCGATGCTGGAGCCCCACATCTCGCCCCTGAAGTCTGTTCCTCATTCAAACCAACCAGCCCCGAAGCATCCCCCTTCCCTCCTAACAGTCTGCACTGCCCACTTCCGGTTCGGTCACACACCCGCCATTCGCCATCTACCATTCCTCGCCACCGCTGCCGCTGCCTGCACTACTGCCTTTGCCTACGTGTTCGCCATCCGCGCTGCCTGCGATGACCACTGCCCCGCTGTTGCAGGTGCTCTACAACTACCACACCAACTGCGAGGCCGCCGTCAACAGCCACATCGACCTGGAGCTCCACGCCTCCTATGTGTACCTGTCCATGGCTTTCTACTTTGAACGAGACGACATGGCCCTGGAGCACTTTGGCCGCTACCTCCTGCACCAGTCAGACGAGAAGATGGAGCATGCGCAGGAACTGATGAGGCTGCAGAACCAGCTCAGTGGCCTCACCTGCCTTCATGACATCAGGGAGCCAAAGCGCTAAGGCTGGGAGAGCGGGCTTGAGGCCATGGATTATGCCTTCCACCTGGAGAAGAGCGTCAACTACAGCCTCCTGGAGCTGCACCAGCTGGCCCTGGAGAAGGGCGAGCCCAGCTGTGCGACTTCCTGGAGAGCCACTACCTACACCATCAGGTCAAGACCATCAAAGAGCTGGGTGGCTATGTGAGCAACCTGGAAAAGATGTGGGCCCCGGAAGCCGGCCTGGCTGAGAACCTGTTTAACAAGCTCTCCCTGAGTCACAGCGAGAAAGAGACCTGAGCCCAGACAGGCCCCACAGCCACGAAGTGCCTTTTCCGGGTCGGGCCACCAGGCGGGGCGTGCATGTTGCCCTTTCAGAATGTTCTCTTCAGTTTTTTCCTTTCAGTTTTACCATTGTTGGCAATAAAGTTATCTGGTTCTCAAAGCAATGAAGGTGTCCAGTTGAGGCGTGCCTGCAAAACTCTCACCTTCTACGAGCTAGGGCAAATCCCCATGCAAGTTTAAAAAGGGTGTCCAGCAGTCTCTACACCCAGGGCTACTCCATCTGCATGCAGCTCAGGGTCTCTAAGGATGGAGGTGGATGGTATTCTGTGAGTCCCTGTAAAACACATTAATCTTTTCTTTCTAAACTATGTGGATATATGGGGTAGGGAGGGTGGGGTGGGTGGTCTTAGGCCCCTGTGTCTGTGGGTGCATGTGCATGGTAAAGTGTAAAATATGGTCTAGAATTCATCCTAGTGGTTGTCTCTAGGGAAAAAGTGAAGGGAATGGGATTGGGCAGGGATTAAATTAATGAGGTCTTTAATTTTACATGAAAAGTTTTCTTTTTTAAATATGCAAATGCTAACATTTCTTGATTCTGGGTAGCAAGATGGGGTATTTGCAAGATGACATGGCAGAGCATCTCTTTGGCAAGCTTACTCTGAGTAATAGTGATAATGGAAACTGAGACTTAAGCTGGCTTCACCATTGCCAGGAGATGCATTTCTGTGGTTGCCAGGACTGGGCATGCATATTGCCCTTACAAAACCTCTACTTACTTATTTTTATTTTTTTTTCTCTTTGATTGAATCATTTCTTCCATTAAAGTGACGTGGTACCAAAGAAAAACAAATTACCTCAATAGAAGAGCTGAAAAATATAAGGTCAAAGTTGGGGGTCAAGTTTATAGTATTGAATATAAAGTAGAACTCTGGCTACTTTGAAGAATGTAGGGGTGTGGGGGAGGGTTGAAGGTGGAGACCAGGCAGAGACATTGTAGCTGGTGCAGATGAGAGGCTAGCATGGCTTGAAATGTGATGGTGGCTGAGGAAATGAAGGGAGGTAGACAAGTTCCAGATGGATTTTGGACAAGTCAACAAGAATTGCTCATGGATGGGAAATGACGGATGTGAGATGGGGAAAATAACCTATGTTCTGGGGTTTGGCCTTGAGCACCTGGGTTAAAGGTGATATTTTAAAATCTGGGGAGCTTGCAGGGGGGACACCTGGGGTGGAGGGTTGGGGAAGGCATATAATGTATAATCAGAGATTTCTATTAGACACTCAAGTCAAAAAGGTCATGCAGGTAGCTGGAAAAATGAATGCCAGTTTTGGAAACGAACAAATTACGAGATCATTCTATAAATGGTATTGAAATATGTGACTGGATAAGCTCATCAGAAAAAGGGTGTAACAGAATATGGCATAGCCAACCCCAAGCCTATGTAAGCTAACATTTTGAGGTTGGTTGAGGTGTTTGTACACCCGGAGAATTGCAGGTTCCACTTTTACTAATACCTTGTTCAGGACTGTGCCTCCAGTGTCTGCCCCAAGTTTATCTCACAATTAGCCAATTCCTCGCCTCAATGTGGCCTTTAGTCCTTCTTTCAAGATATAAAGAAGTGTTAGCCTTTTACCTTATCTTTATGGGTGTGTAGGAAAAAGAAAAAAAACATTTCGTACTGAAAAGAGTTTCCAAAGAAGTGATAGACATGTATTTGTATGTATTTCTTTTTTCTTCTGTTCCCTTTTCAATACTGTGCCTCTCTCTCAGTTCATTCTTTATGTAACCAAATGAATCTGCACCCATATAAACCCTCAGTGTCTGGGAAAAACATACATTTTGTTTCTTTTGGGCCTTGTGTGCATTACAAAGAAAAAAGTTAAAAATGTATAGATTTGTATCTTATATTCAAAGACACATGGGTAGTTATTTTTAAAGCTAACAGATGACTTTGGGGTATTTCATACAATATAAACAAGTTTAGCTAAGCAATAATTAATTTCCAAATTTCCTCATGACTGTACTTCAACACTTTCTTGAAAATAAGGATTGTGGTTCTTTCCATTCAGTTTCTAGGAAATGCTACCGATCCTTTACTCTTCTGAGTCACATACTCTTGTTTCTTTTTTATTAATATTATTTTAAATGGAAAAATCATAATTGTACTACCTTTACTAAGTACAATGTGATGTTTTGATATATGTATACAGTGTGGAATAACAAAAATAAACTAGATAACATATGCACCATCCAATTTGTTTGACTTTTTTTGTGATACATTTGAAATTTACTCTTAGTTGTTTTGAAATACACAGTATATTATTATTGAATATAGTCACTCTGCTGTGCAATATATCTCAAAATGTATTACTCCTGTCTAGCTGAAACAGTGTATACTTTAAGCAGCAACTCCCCACTTCCTCACACTCTCCCACTCCCTAGCCTCTGGTAAGCATCATTCTACTCTATACTTTTATAAATTCAACATTTTTAAGATTCCACAAAAAAGTGAGATCATGCAGTATCTGTCTTTCTGTGTCTGGCTTATTCCACTTAGCATAGTGTCCTCTAAATTCATCCATGTTGCCCCAAATGACAGAATTTTGTTCTTTTCCTAAGGCTGGATAGTATCGTATTTGGTATATATATCGCATTTTCTTTATCCAATCATCTGTTGATAGACACTTAGGTTGATTGTGTATCTTAGCTATTATGAATAATCCTGCAATAAACATGAGAGTGCAAATATCCCTTTCACATATTGATTTCAATTACTTTGGATACATTTCCAGAAGTGGGATTATTGTTCTATTTTAA